TACATAGAAGACATTAGAGAGAAGGCTCTAGATACAGGCTCAAGGCTTCCTGATTTGAGACAGAGTAGGTTTCAGGACATTAAGTGATTGGAACAAATTTTCAGAAATGATAAGAACCACACTGTGGATCTCTTAAACTATAAATTTTTTTAAGTTTCTAGAAATACTCATAAAAATATGTGCTTTGAGGTAAACATGTTTAGAAATGTTCTAAGAGTCCTTCCTTTGTCTGCTTATAAATAAGAAATTGTTAACGTGTCTGTCTGAGAAAGTAGTTTAGAGTCAGGGTCCATCGGAGAACATACTTTCTGAGAAAGTACTCAGGCCTCATTTTCTCTAGGTTTTTCAATTTTAACAACAACAACAACAACAGCAACAAGAATAGTTAAATGATACCAGAAAGAGAGCAAAAGAGGTAAGAAGAAAACCATGAGTGTGTGCTGTCCTGGAAGGCTGGTAACAGAAATGTGTCTGGAAGGAGTTATCAGTTGCGTCAAGTGAGATGAGGCCTGAGAATTGCTCCTTGACTTACTAACGTGGAAATCATTGGTGATCACAACAGAGCAGTTTCAGTGGAATGGGGGTGGTGAAAACCTGGGTTCTCCACAGGGATGAATGAAGATAAGTTGAAGACACCAAGTATAGACAATTCTTTAAAGTAGATTCTTTTCTGTAACTGTGAATTTCTTAGAGCTTTTTTTATCAAAAGTTTTCAGAACGTTTTATAATTCTTCATGAAAGGAATCCTTAGTTTCTTAAAATGGGTAGGAATAACATTTTCAGTGGGAGTTTTTAACAAATATAATTGTTATTTAATGAAACCTATAGCACAAAATACAAGGCTATGGCCTCTGTAATGATTGCACAAAATTTATAACAGTGCCATTGGATTTTAGCAAACAACCTTGATTTTGTAAGAAGGTTGGAGGAGTAATAGAATAAAACGGCATATTGCTGCTACTTTCGAATTGGGTGGAAACTGTAAAGAACCTTCTTTTTAGCAAAGAAAACTGCTGTGTCTTATTTATGTTTATGTGATTTTTCATAAAACATTTGTTGCTTTTGCTACTGTTGACATTTTTCTCTCGATATCATGGCTATGAAGTGCTTTGTTAGGAATTTGTGTCAAAAATGAAAGAGATAATATTTCTGATTATGAGGCAAGTGTGAGTATGTATTTCTATAGGTAGTGAATGACAATTTCCCCATAACTACAATGGGTGTTTTGGGAGGCAAGATTTATCTACATATTAAAATAGAGGCTATTAATTGTAGGTAGTGGAAAACATCAAATGGATTTTAAAGTATGAAACAAATGTATTTATAATGATTTCCATTTAATTTGATTGTTGTGATGGCATTCTGGACCTCTAGAGTTTGATTTACATATGTACCCTGTAATATTAAATCCGATTTAGCAAATTCATCTTAACCATAATTCATTATATAGTTATTCATATCAAATGTGGCAAACAGAAAAATTTTTTTGTGGGTGAAATCTTCAGACTTTTATAATAAATGTTCTTTCCATTTCAGGCTACAACTCTCCCTGAAATAGAAACCTGTTAGGAAGGATGCATAGTGATTAAATTGTTTTTCGCTTAAGAACTTGCTTCCTTAAAGTTTTGGCTATTTATAATGTTTGATCTCAAAATATTGTTTATAGTGTTATTTTTTAATTTCTTTTTTCTTTTTTGCTCTGATTCATAGATTTGTAATCCCCAGAGGCTATTTATATTATAACACTCAAAAATTTTTAAAAAATGAGGAAGTCACAGTGTGTTAAACTTTTCCTTTGATGCCATTCACTGTTCTATAAAGAAAGGTTGCTCCAGAATTAGACACAAGAGAGGCTTTGGGGTGAAATCTTGTTGTGATGGAGGGACTTACCCGAGTGTCACAGTCACATTACAAATGCACTCATTTTGCTCATATTGTATTTCCATAGGGAGGTTGATAGAGAAGGAATGACAGTTAAAGCTCATCCTTGGCACCACCACGGTATATAAAGCACCTATCCTATTATTTGGTAGTCATCCTTTATATTAAGCCCAATTCTATGACTTCTCATCATTGGATCCACTGTTAAATTTAATGTACTAACAACTTCCATCCCTATCCTCAAATCAGTCTTCACATGAACCATGGGTAAAGCACTGTCCAACTACTTGCAGCTCACAGGCCAAGTCACAAGAATTCATATCTTCCGGCCTTTACATATGCTGTTCAGTCTGTCGTGAATGTGTGCTAGCCATGATGCCCTCATCTGCCCAACTTTCAAGAATGTTTCCATGCATCAAACCCAAGAGTCTTGTCATTCTATCTTCTCTGTCCCTTAGCAAAGTGCATACATTTTCCTGTGGCATTTTCACATATCGTGGTGGTTATTTATTTCCATGTATGGTTTCACTGCTAGAGTGAGACTATTGCAGATATTAAATGCTGTATCTTGGTGAACTAGTAAAATCCTGACACATAGCATGCACTCAGCGATAGTCTGATGATCGAGTAAATGAACAAGTAAGCAGAATAGAATATGTGAATGTATGAGCAAATGGATGAACTCCTTAAGGGAGATACAGCAGAGGAGAAATAGCCCAAGCCTTGTCATACAGGAGTGCTATGATGGGGCAAATCCTCGCACAAAGGGCACTGAGTATATCTGAATCTCTGTCTTCCCCATCTGTTAAAGAAGGAGTATATTTTCTAACTCTCTGCGGAGGTTTCTTGTGGGTAATACATAAAATCTTGCATGTAAAAGTATAAAGTATTATACAAATATAGGATTTTTTTTCAGGTTCAGAGACATCATGATATATTCATGAAAAAAAATCACCCAATATATGATGGCTTAAATAAGGAAAAGGAAGAACAAATGCTAAGGAGCAGAAGATCAGATTGAAGGAGGAGAGAGGCTAAAATTGGCTATAGTGTCCTGAGGGCTAGACAAAGAAATGTTAACCTTAACCCAGGGTTTCTAAACTCTGGCTGCACATTGGAAATACCTGGGGATTTGGAAAATATTTTTGCCTGAGCTCTAATTTTACCAGTGTGAGGTGGAACTCAGTCATTGACAGTTTTTAAGGCTCTCCAGATGATTCTAATATACAGCCAGGGTGAGAGCCACTGCTGGGCCACAGGAATTGAGGGAATGTTTCTAGGGAGAAAAATTGCATAATACATGAGATGTTTTAAAAAGATTAATCAGCGTGAACAGATATGAGGAGAGTCTGGGGACAGGAATTGAGTGATTAAAATGTCTAGGAACATCGCAGATGAAAATAACTGTTTAAGGCCAAAACTTTTTTTTTTGAGGAAAGCTAAGAAAGGCACTGTGGAGCGATATCAAAGTTAGGCCTTCACAATTAACAGTGAAGTTGTTTAGACAAACTTAGGCACAGTCCAAGAATTAAAAGTAGCAGAGCAGCATTTTACAAACTAGACCTGAAAGTTACTTAGGTTGCAAGTAGAGGTTAAAATGGCAACCACCATTTGTTTAATTACCCATGAAGGGTTCCTAGAGGAGGTAAGTTTGAATAGGGTTGAACTGGTGTTGTTTGTAGAGAGATCAGGTATACAATAAGTTTTTTCAGGCCAAAAGTTTTCTTAATATGGTTTTGGGTTTGCCAGTCATGCCTTCCTACTCTGTCATATCCCTCTTTCTCTTAAACTAATAAGCAAAAATAAACAAGATAATTACTCAATACCTTTAAAATGTAATGAAGGGTATCCTGGAATTCTTTGTAGTATTTTTGCTCCTTTTCTGTGAGTTTAAAATTATTTCAAAATAAAAAATTTTAAAAAATGTAATGCAAGTGTTTTAAAATATGTTTAAATATATAAAATGATGGTCTTGAGAGGAAAATATTCTGAATGTAATATACTAAACTCTAAAACTCATTTGCTTTTTAAAATTTCTTTGGTAGTAATTTTCTAACAGATAGTTCTTTGGGATGGGGAAAGTAAAATTTCATTAGTGAATCAAAAATGTGGCATACTATTGAAAAAATATTATCTTCCCTATTTATGTCATGAAAATCTATGCATATGTTGCAGTCTTATGGGATAGGAGAGGGTATATACCAATGATGAACCCTTTTTGGAGGCACTTCATTATCTTTTATTACAGTATAAACCTTAGAAATCCTAACGCTATGTTTAATAAATGGCCCAACAGCAATGCTTATAAATATTCCTTGCCTTGAATCTAATAAGAGATTTAGGAAAGAAGGAAGCAAGGGTAGCAGGAACTGAATAATATCTTATTTTCACATAAATAACTCTTTTGAGGAATATGGAAAACAGTCATTTTAATATTTTCACAGAGATAGGCCAAGTCATAATTTAATATCTTATGTTCTACAATTCACATCCATTTACAAGTGAATTATTTTGGTTAACCTGCTTTTAAAAATACTTTATACTTGGTACAGTGAACTAACATTTTAAGGCCTTAAACTTTTAGTTTTTCAGTTTTATCTATTTCAAATGTATCATTTATAAAGGCCATGCATGTGGTAGATAAGGTATGGGGCATGGTCGCAGAAAGCGGGGGATAGGGGGGCAGAATTTTTTTTGATGCCTCATTTTCCTCATCTCTAAGTGAGAATAATAATAATATCTATGTCACAGGTTAATATGTGTATGATATATATCAAGTACTTGAATAATACTTCACATAAATAGTAGCACCATATAAGATTTAGCTACTAAAATCATAAGTGTAATAAGTAAATATTGCTTAGAAAAAGAAAGGGTAAAAATAAAATAACTACATCTTAGACTTCTTTAGTTTTAGTGAAAAAATTTTGACAATTTGTTTATCCTGGGGACATTTTTTATCTTTTTGGTAAAGGCTCAATACTAATGCATGTACCTATGAGAGTAGACCCTTGTTAAGTCAAATGGTTCTCCTTTACTAGACTCGTAGCAACCATGTCTCTCGAAAGACGTTCTAGATGTGGAGTAGTTTGTCACAATTATTTGGTAATCTCTTTCAGTGTAACTCACACAGCAAAAGTGACAATATTCCTGTCACTCCTCAGAAATGTCCCGGCTCTGCGGGTTTCCACATTCAAGAGAATGAAGAAAGCCATTACGAGGTATGCCATATCTCTGTTAGAGACCGTGTTAGTACTGAGCAATTTGCATTTTCCTAGTGATTTTAAATACTCTAAATTAACTATTATAAATATTGTCTCTGCTGACCTCTTTTAAGGTCATATTTTTTATACTAGTACCTTTTTTTAACAACTTTAAACAATTTTAGAATAAAAAGAGAACAATAATCTTTTTCCTTTTTGGTAATGGTCCAACTATTAAATATAATGTTCTTGTTGAATGCAAAGTGTTGAATTTTACATTTTTGGAGAAGGTAATGAGCAACTTTCTTTTGGAATTAAGTGTTCTTAGTTGATTCATTTTTATTAGTTGAGCTAAAAGGTACACACATTATTTGTTGAAAGATTGACTTACTTCATTCTCTATATTCGAGGAAGATAGAGAAGACAATGCAGCTTAATGTGAACAGGTTATATTGGAATTTTCATTAATCTCTTCCTTTTTTTTACTACTTTTTATCAGCTTGATCCTTTATTTCTCTGTATGTTTGAATTTAAAATAAAAATCATTACTTTCTTTCTTTTCTTAATGAGTTTATCCACTGTAAAATGTAGAAGCTCCATATTTTTTGTTCTTTTTTTCCTATGTTCAGAGAGCTAGTCCAGTAACAATTATTCTAACATGGCTGGATGCAGAAATCTGTTATCATTCATTTCATTTTTTTAAATTGTGTTATAAAACATAATATAAATTTTACCACTTTAATCATTTTTAAGTGTATAGTTCAGGAGTGTTAAGTATGTTCACATTGTGTAATAGAAGATCCATATTTTTAAGGAATTGTGTTTCAGTAGTTAACTCTAACATTAATGCATACATATTTATTTCGCCTATTTTCCACAGTCATAACATGTAGATTGTAGATAGATAATGGATAGATAATCTGTATGTGTATATATGTATGTGTGTGTGTTAGTATGTATTCTATTTTTTTATTGAAGCTAGGTTTTTTTCCCCATTCCCTTAAAGGTGTTGAAAACCTTTTGATATTACTAGCAGTAAAAGGTTTTTGCCAACTAAAGGAATCTATCATTCTCAAATGCCCCAGTTGTAATGTAGGTCAGGGAAATTACTTTGATTAATAGAAATTTTGTTGAGTAAGCAACTTCTTTTTGGAAAAACCATTAATTGGGTAGGAAAAGGATAAAGTGATATTTTGGACAGTTTTATCCGCTACGTTTTTTTTTTTTTTTTTTTTTTGTGAGGAAGACCAGCCCTGAGCTAACATCCATTGCCAATCCTCTTCTCTTTTGCGGAGGAAGATTGGCCCTGGGCTAACATCTGTGCCCATCTTCCTCTACTATGGGATGCTGCCACAGCATGGCTTGACAAGTGGTACATCCGTGCGTGCCCGGGATCCAAACCCAAGAACCCCAGGCCACCACAGCGGAGCGCGCGCTCTTAACTGCTGTGCCACCGGGGCCGGCCGCTCCCCTCGTTTTTTATTCACAGATTTTTCTTCTTTTTCTTTTTCTTTGTGTGGATCTAACTATTCAGAGACATCTGTCTAAACTACAGTATATATTCTTCTTCTTATTTTGCCTTTATTTTCTTCTTTATCTCTCTCTCTTTCTCCAAAATCTTAATAACTTGACAGTTCAGAGAAGAACCATAATTTTTTAACCCTTTGATTTTTCATTATCACCGTGTATGTTTCAAATGTCTAGAACACACGAGTTTTTCCCACTAGTCACCCTTATTTCATCCAATAATAACACACAATAACTTACAGCAGAAATAAATGTTTTATTCATAAAGAAGCAAGTAAATCTTTAAAAAGCCTACTCAGAATGTTCTGAAAACAATTGAAATCCAAGTGGATTTCAAATTTCTAAGACTTATATTTATATTTATTTTTATGACAGTTTCATGTCTATGTATTTTAAGTAAAGAATGCATACTTCCCAGACAGCTCTTTGACTACCCAAAGGGATAGAATGAGGAAATGTTTGCTGATGATTTCCTTATTTCGGATAGAGAATTTAAATGAGCTATAATTAAAATAAATTTTCTATGAATCATATTTTTTTCTCCCCTGGATATTTTATAAGACCCAACGGATAAGAACACAATTTGTAGAGGGTTTATTTGACTAAAGTTCTAGGGAACGTGGACAAGGGAAAATGATACTCAGAGTTATGATGTTAATTTATATCATGACTCCAATTATCAAAGAACAGTGAAAGTAAATCTGCTGCGCTATATTTATAAACAGAGGAAAGTAGACAAATTATTTTAGAAATTTTTTATCCCACAAATTCTTATTTAACCATCATACTCCAGGCCCATTGTAGTCTGAATGGTTTCAGACTAGGTCATCCATAAAGTCCCATCTCTCTCTAATGGTCTATGATACTAAATAAGGATGATGATGTCAACAATGGACACTTTTTTAGCATATACTTTGTGTCAGGGTCTGTTTCAAGCCCTATGTATATATTCAGCCATCATTTACATTTTGTCCTTGATCAATTTAAAAGGCTTTTGCTCATAATATGGTTAATTTCTTAAGTATACACTTTTTTAAATGCAGAGAGACGATGTCTGATGTTTCTTATAAAATAAAACTTGAAAACAGAAGTGACACCAGCTTTGGGATTCTATAAAGCATTCTGAAAGATAGGGTTTCTGCATAAACGCTTAATATCTGTAGACTAATGACAACGAGGATAGTTTTAGTAACCAGTTCCTTAAAAAGTTATTAATCTAGTATTAATCATTCTTGAGAAGTAATAACAAAAGGTGATTATAACCTGCAAAGTTGGTGCCTGAGATATGCTATTATTATTTTTTTCTTTATATTAAATTATATGTTAAGCCTGGTAAATGTATGTATATTCCTAATTTTTAATTTTCTCCCAATTTATACTTCACCTCTTGAATCACTTTACTAAAGTGAAAAAGAGCATGTTTGTTCTATTTATCACAAAAACTATTTAACTGAAAAAAACTATACTGTTGTTCAAGTAGAAAGTCATATTTTGTGTCAACTAATGTTGATTAATCTGGATGAAGTTATTAAATTTGTATTATGACATTAGATATAAAATAAAACCAAGGCCGATATGACTAGCAACCTTTTAATCATTCTCAAATTATCATTCTTAACCTGTCACTCTTAACTTAGATATAGCGATTGTTGCTTACTTATAGAGAAATGTTAATAGCTAATGGGCAATTTTTGTACCATACACTATGCTAAGCACTTTATATGTATTACCAATTTTCATCTAATCTGGGATGTTACTAAGTACAAAACATGCTACAATTTCATGTACAACTAAGAAAAAAATGCTATCAATTAAACGCTAAGTGCTTATTTATGATTTCTTTAATATCCATCCTACTCTTAGATATGTTAAAATATAGAAAAATTTACATACTAGAATTGTTTAAATATAGCTCATTTAAACCCGACAATAACCCCATTAGATAGTATCAACCTTAAAAATAAAACAGCTAGTTATTTTACCAGCAAAATGATTTGGGAATAACCAAAGAATTGCAATCAAGATGAGCATGCTATGGCAGACCATAGGCAAAAGCAACAAACAAGGGAGAGGAACATTATTTTATAGAGAAAAAGGAGGTAATTGGGAGGGGTAGTTTTGAAGGAAAGTCCATTGGAGAAGATCAAGAGTTCAGGGTGGTGATGATTTCTCACTGACTGAGTTGCTGGGGTAGTCAATTTCTGTTTGGGATGCAATATGCGTGTCTTTCTGTAATTAAATGATTCTTTCCTGTTGACTGGCTTCTGTTGGGGTCTGTAATTGACTGTCTTTCCTGTAACTGACTTCCAGTGGTACTGTGTGGGAGCTCCCCCTTTTGGCCTCCTGACTCCATTTTAAATGAGGTTTCCCTTTATTAATTTTCACAATAGGTACTATTATTATTATTCCCATTTTACAGATGGGGAAACTGAAACATACAGAGGTTACATAATTTGCTCAAATTCATGCAGATAGTAATTAATGGAGCTGGAATATAACCATAGTGAAATGAATTCAGAAACTTCAAAGTTAACTACTCTGTGATTGTGTCTAAGTCAAAAAAAAATCACAGGCTATTTGACTGTCAGGGACCATAGAGATTATGTAATCACATTACTGAAGCATAGCTTGAAGACAAGAAAGATAGAGGAGCTTCCACAGGTCACAGAGCTAGCTAGAGATAGGACTAGGATTGATCCATGTTTCTTGATCCTGGAGTGATCTAATGACTACCTTCAGCTTGCATAAAAAGTTTGCAAGCAAATGTCAAAGAAAATAATTCATATTTGAAATTTTTATTAAATTAGATTTCAAATAAGGTGTGGAATTTAAACTAACTGTCACGTTTAAGTTTTCTCTTCCTGGCAGGCCTTCTGCCATGGGATACACAGAGAACCATAGTGCTTAAACTAGAAGCACAGAAATGAATAAGTGCATATTGTTTTCTTACCATAAATGCATATTACCTGTACTAAACATCTTTGATATATGAATTTTATTGTCATTTCCCTTCTCTTCCTTTCAATTCCCTTTACCCATGAAACAGCATAGAACGTAAGCAGACAGAGCTTTCAGTGTCTATATTCTGCAATCTGTAGGAAAATGTCTCATAGTTATTGGAATTCACACAAGACTGCATCTTGGTATGAGTAGCTGTTCCCTGTCACTGTTTTTGATGCTTGAGCTAAAGTATTTTTACAAAATGGTCCAGTGTTCAGTGTATGAGTTGTTGAGATAAGACTTTTCCCTTGTAGCAATGAAATCCGAAAATCAATGTCAGATGGAAATCTTAGCTCTAAGAGTTAAGGAGATTGGTGGAAGGGTTTTAAAATAAGTGTGAATTTTAGCCGCCAGACTTTGGAAATGTGGCAGTTATCACAAGTGCGAAATTCATGGGTCCAGATGGTTGATTAAGATATCCCAGGATGGACCACTGCTATAAATCTCCAGACCAAAATTGGGAAAACCATTTTGATAAAGGAAATATTTCT